TTGCTTGCAGCGTTATACAAGAAAATCTACAGTACACTCATATTTGTTGTTTCTCTGTACATAACTGAATTTTAACCGTCAGCAACAAGTTCAGTTAAGTTCATTTCCTATTAAAGCATAGAGCACAGCTCAATTTATTTCAAATTCATCTTTATACAGCGGCACATAACATTCTCTCTCAGAATCTGTAGGAACAAAAAGAAGAACAAACTGAACAATTTGACTTGAAATCTCATACAAGAAAAGCCACAGTAAACTGGTATTTGCTGTTTCTTTGCACATAACTGAATTTTAAACGCCACAAACAAGTCCACTTAGGTCGATCTCGTTTTAAAGCGTAAAACACAGCAGAATTTATCTCAAATTTAGGTTTGTACACATAACAATTCTCATCAGAATATCTAAGAAGAAGAAGAAGGATGAACTTGCTTCAAATCTCATACAAGAAAAAGCACAATAAACTGAAGCGGCAAGGAAAATCCCTGAAAATCGAACCTGAAGAGAAAGATGATACTTTGAGCACATGAAACAGCAAGGCAAATCTGACGACGAACCGATTAGTGCGATTTCTGAAATAAGAAGAACAAATTTAACGTCTCACAGTGAAGGGACATAAGATCAAACAGTTCATGATCATGAATGGAGTCACACAGGCACGAACCAAAAATAGACACAGGAACATCCATGGACACGCATCAGTAGAATACAAAAGAGGATAAACCAAATCCCATCGGCTCTTAGAAGCAGCAAACAATAGATCCATGGCACACACACGCACTCATGACTCAAGCAACACAGGAAAGATCCCACATTGAAAAGAAGCAACAGTCACGCATTTCATCGAGCAGTTTACAAGCAGGGGAACGAGCAGAACCTCACCTCGGAAAGAAGGAACAAACAGCCGCACGGACGCACGACAAAGCAGCCACAGGCACCCTACACACGAAAAGAAAGCACAAGGAAGAAAGATTAACAGCTGAGTGGAGAGCGGAAGCAGCGGAAATTTATAACCGAACGAAAGAAGCAGCTCACCCTAACCAAACGCAATAGCAGCAGCGAGAGGAGCCATCAGGAAGTACAGCGGCGACGCGGCAAGCAAGCAACAAGCAAAGCGATGGCGATGGCGATTGATGGCGAGCGACGGGAGCAACGGCAGCGGCGGGTGGAGTTGACGCGGAACGAGGAACAGAGAACGAGAGACGACGGCTGGAGCGTGGCGGAAGGACGAACAGAGGACAAGAGCGTCGGCTGTATATACAAGGAGCAGATAGCACGCAAGGTAGCGATCGTTACTGGGCTGCGTCCACCACACCGCAGGGACGTATCAGATTATTGGGTTTAACTTTAGTCCAACGACCAGTGCGCCGAGCGCATGGACAGGCATCCATACGTGGCTCGATCCAAACGCAAACGACGCTCTACAGGAGGTACAGCCCACCTGGGCCTGCACGCACTCAACTCGGGTGCGCACAAGGCCGCATACGCACCATGCGCACTGCCATCCACTTCGCGACACAGTCCATTGGCCAGCCCACCTCTCATGTGCTTGTTATTGCAGTCTATGATCGCTGGGCCCGCGCCCGTCCGTCGTTCGTTGTTCCTTCCGCGCAGGCCGATTGGCTGGATGTCGCGCGCCGCGCGCGTACCCCAGTGCGACGCGGCGTGGGTGGGTGAGGGGCGCCACTGCTTTTCTACCCATGCTCTCTGTACCCAGCTGCGTTGGTGGCTCTGGCTTAATGATGGTCCCGCATGTCAGTCTATCGGCGTCGACTTGGGCTGTGATTCTACTCGTTCGCTGCCCAGCTGCGTTGGTGGGCCACGGCTGCATGCGCACAGCGCCGTGCAGGGTTGGATGAACTGCGCGTGCGGTGGTGGATCTGGCAGCGGCATGCACAACTTTTCTTCCGGTCAACTCGGGTGTGCTAAACGGCTCTCCCACGCTGCGTGCGCCCAAGGCCGCGAGAGGTCGCACATTACGCGACTATTATTGGGTTTAATTACATGGTCATCCAAACAAAAATTGGAGTTTTTTTTTTGCGGGTGAACAAAAATTGGAGTTGGGTGCCCTACTGCCCTCCTGAGATTCCATCTAACCCAATACATGTGCATCCGGAAAAAAATATCTTGAATTGTAGTCAATTTCAATGCATTACTAGTTGATTTGGCATTGCACCCCAATCCAATTCAATGGGCTCAATAAAGACATCAAAACAAAACGTTAGATAAGTTCAACTTATAGACACAACTATTTTTATTGAGTTCCATGAAGTGAAGTCACTCCAAGGCAATTATCCCATGATCGTGACAGTCAGTGCTTCCATCCCGAGCTCAAATGCTCCTGACATGAACAGTTAAAGCAAAAAAAAAGAAATTCTGAAAAAAAAATTGGCAACAAACATTGTTTGGTGCAGTGTCAACTGAAAAAGTGCATCAAATAAGCCAATGGATGCTATTCTCGACATCACTGGTTTCAAGTTTCAACCAATCTAATCTACCTACGCACCCTTTACCAAACACAACAAACTAGTAGTACACGCTTAGGATGTGTTTGCTTGCTCGGATTAGGTCCAACCAGGCCCGCGCGGGAAAGGAATGAAATGTTTGGTTGACTAGTTTTCATGTTAGGCCTGCATAGTATGAAACTTAAAGCAGCTTTGGGCCTGGCTCACTGAAAATGCTCAGATCAGCAGTTTCTCGCGAGCCAGGCCGAGCCGAGCGCAAGCGAGTGGGCCCTTGCATTAGTGGAGACTGGAGGGATGCAAGGTGATTACGTGAGGTCTTCTTCAACCTTCAGTAAGCTCCTACCTAATCCCCTCCCTCTGATCTACACAACGGTGCTTCGATTCGAGGTAAGCTCTACACGAAAAAGATGCACCTCGATGCTACGGTTCCATTCAGGCGATCGATTCGTAGTTTCGTCGGCCGTAAGTTCTTAATCTCGTGTTCCCATTTGAAACTATTCTAGACGAATTTTGTCAGATTCATCGCGCAATCATTTGAAATTTCCTTTGACCAGCAGCCTAATCTCGCAGGTCCTCACAACATTCGTGTTGTAAGTTTTTGGTTTCGACGATCGTAACTTCATCTCTTTTTGAACAGCAATCTACTGCACTGACGCCGTCATGTCGAGCTCCTCTGTCCTCTGCTCAGAGCCGTCCTATTCGTCCCTCTCGACGCTGAAGACCTTCCCCTTGATCTCCTTGCCCGCGTGCTACTGCACTAGAGTTGTTTTTGGCGTCGCTCATCTCGGCCTACTCTTTGTCGTCCTCCTACTACAATGACGCTGCAATGGCGCGCACACTGCTTTCTTGTGTCCTCTGCCTCCGTGCACACTATAGTTCGCCGAGCCGCTGACGGGATCGATCATCTTCGCCTCCTCTCTCTCGTCCTACTACACTGGAGTCATTTCCGGCGTCGATCATCTCGGCCTCCTATCTCGTCCACTGCACTGACGATACCATGGCGCGAGCACTGCATTCTCCTCCTCTGTCCACTGTCTTTACGCGAGCACCGTAACCAGTTCGCCGACGGGGTCACTCGTCCACGACTCCATGCTTGTCATGTCGGACACGGCGCCACGGCCACTATCCACTGTAGTCGCCATTGTCCGGCGCACACTGCACTTCTTCTCCCCTTCCCTCTGCTAGCTCTTAACCCTGTCTACTAAGTGAAGTGCTAGCTCTTAATCATACCTCATGTGTGCAACCAAACACCGAGTTCATGTGCCGCTTGGACCAATGCAGGCAACCAAACAAAGTGCACTTTCGTATTACCCAATGCATGGATCCTAGATGCAGGCAACCAAACAACTTGCAGATGTCGTATATGTGGCTATTTTTTTAGAGTCAGGTTGGGTTGAGATGTGTATGCATTACAACTACTATTTACTGCCACAACCAAATACGCCCTTAATGCTGCCATAGATGCACATCTTTTTCGCTACTGAACACGCCAGTCACGATCCGATGATTGATGGAACCCTCTGAAATCAGAGGAAGTCCACAACACTGGTCGCCATGCTCCATCCCAATCGACATCACTCCACCTACGGCCTACCTACCCACCCGACCCGCCTCACCCGGACCGGAGGGCCGGAAGTACCACATCTCCCTCACTGCCGATGGGCCTGGCCACCCACTCGTCACCTGTAAACCACCCTGTGCACGAGGCCCAGTTTCGTCAAACAATCGACGCATTAACAGCCAATCAATAGCTAGTACGTACCACATCAATCTCACATCTGTGTGTACTGTGTAGGTGAAAATAGAAAAAATGACCTTTATCTAAAACTTCAACACAAAATAGTCCCAATCTGAAAATATTTCACAAAATGACCTCTTTTGGATGACGCCCGAGGCTAGGGCGCCATGCTAGATAGCATGACACCCCGGGTTAGGATGTCATGCTATTTGGCATGGCGTCCTAGGCCGGGGCGTCATACTACACGTCGCTATCATGACGCTCTAGCCCGGAACGTCATGCTCTCTAGCATGGCGCCCTAGCCGCGGGCGTCATGTAAAAGAGGACCATTTCGTGAAATATTTTCAGATTGGGGTCATTTTTGTGATACAAGGGCCAATTTTGTTCGTTTTCACACTGTGTAGTGCGTACTCCCATGTAGTAGTAAATCAATAGCTAGTACGTACCACATCAATCCCACATCTGTGTACTGTGTAGTGTGTACTCCCATGTAGTAGTAGCATCAGCAGAGATAGTGGCTGAAGACTTGAAGGCACGGGGACCAAATATGCCCGAGCTTGCAAGAAGCCTATAAATAACAGCAAGCTAGCTTTAGCTTCGTTAGCTTTAGCTAGCTAACTCTGGAACTTCTCTCACATCCATCTTCCTCCTCTGCTCAAGAGCACCGGCCAGGAGTTCATAGACACCGCACAGAGTGAGCTGCAGGAGGGTTGGCCGGGTGGAGTTGGAGTAGCTGGCCCGCCCGCCGCCAGCGTGAAACATCACATCGTCGGCGCCGGCCGGCCGGAGAGATCAAGTTGATGGGGAAGATGCTGGGCAAGAGCTGGCAGGAGTCGAGGCTGCTGTGGCACATCGCGTTCCCGGCGATCCTCACCGCCGTGTTCCAGTTCTCCATCGGCTTCGTCACCGTGGGCTTCGTGGGGCACATCGGCGAGGTCGAGCTCGCCGCCGTCACCGTCGTGGAGAACGTCGTCGAGGGCTTCGCCTACGGTGTCCTGGTACGCACGCCACGCGCCAACCAACCCGCATATATGCTAACGCGCATTGCTACTTTGCTAGCTCATTTCGTACTGGTAGATCCGTATATACATGTGCTTAGATGCTTCCATTCCATCTGTTAATTTGCACCAATTAACTTGGCAATTTTTTGGCGAAATCTAGTCGCACGTACGGATGCAGCATGTCTAAGTGCATGTCATAACTCTTGATTAACTGGATCATGTGTCGATCAATTCAAATAGGTTGTTAATTAGACTGCAGAATTTGTGAAGCACGTAGATATATATTAAGAGGTCAGTACTCGTAATCAAGATGCATGAGGCGCAGCTAGTAGGTATATGTATATAGCTGATTAATTAAGCTGCCTAGTAGCGACCAATGTGCCGTGCTAATGTAGGGTGGTTTGCACGTCTCCATCTAGGTCAGCTCCCGTGCGTCGCAAATTAACACCCGACTTTGTTCCTTCCCTTGGAGACTTGGGTCAGCAGGATACCAGCAGAAACAAGGATTGATTGGTCATGCGTATATAACCTAATAAGGAACTAGCAACATGTCTCTCCGTGCGTGCTTGCTTAACCATAATAAAACTTGTAGCGATATAAAGAAGAGCCTAACATTGTGACCGATATTACGTACCAGCTTACGCATGAACTGGAGTGCTGGGGTTAGCAGTGATTATTTAATTTCAGTTTGCCTAGCGATCGAGACCATACCCGGCTGGCTGGCTGGCTGCTGGCCGTAAGGACCATCGATCGATCAAGCTAAGGATTCTGTTGTGCAAATATGGTGCTCGCGTGTGCGTGCGCGTGTTTTCTACTAGCTCGGCATCGAGAAAAGCCTAAGGGGTCACATGCGATAAAGCTCAGAGCAGCTCCAATGGCACGTGGTGAGCCATGTGTGTCGACCTAGCTAGCTGGTAATTGCGCGACGGCCGACACTGCACCGTGAAGGGGCATCCATCCATGCATGCGAGTAAAGAGCCGTGCTTGCTTTCCTTCTTTAACACCGATGAAAGCAGCAAGATCGCGTTAGAAAACAAACCTCTGCTTTTGCTAGAACCTGCAACTCAAAGTACAGACGCTCTCTCCAGACCTACCTCAAAAGTTTCGGTGCAGCTGCGTGCACACAGATGTAGTACGTGTCGTGCGTGCCCATCACTCGTCGTGCCGCTGCCGCCGCACCCACTTTCGTCGTGCCAGTGGCCAGCCAAATTCGGGCTGGGTTGACCGATGAGCGAACGAGGGACAAGGACGAGACGCCACGACACGTCCGAGGGAGCCATTTTTCTGATTTCCCGGTGGTCGTTTTCCGTCGTTCGGTGCACGGGGAAAGTAGGTGGATGCACCCGATCGAACGATCGATGGACGACAACGTACTCCATCCGAACTCGAGCCACGGAAACGTGGGGATTGTGGGTGGCGACGTATGCCGCCGTCGGAGTAGTGCATGTACACATACGGCGCGTACATATCGTTCGGTTTGGCCATTTCATTGTTTGTACCTTTTTTTTTCCAAAAGGAGGGCATATTCGTCCGCCTCCACATCGAGTGGTGCATGCAGCAATTTTGTCAATCATTTTAAAGTGCATATTCCAGTGACAAAAATATTTGACATAAAAAAACTGCCGCACATGACTACTTCAAGAGCAAAATGAAACAGAGAACATCGGAAAATAACCATCATACATCATAAATCCTAATAGTAGCCGGCCAACCAAATCGGCTGGACAAATCCCAAGAGACCATCTTCCATCGGTTGCACCCAAAGACTATTTCATTATCTAGGTGTGGCAAATGACAACCGTAGTGCGGAGCATGTAAATTGATTTTTTTCTGCTCTTTTTTGAGTAGGTAAAGTTGGTTATTGATGGATGTTCTCCTAGATACATCCGCCAATTCTACTCTAAGGTGGAAAAAAAACTATATCTTTTTTATTGCAACCAATACCAATCATTCACTCACCTCTTCAGCATGTGTATGAGCCGCTTTATTAAGTGTTTGGTCTTTATTTATTTATCTATTTATTTTCTGTTTCACATTTCTCTTTTTATTCAAATACTATTTTGTTTTAATACATGTTTAATTTTAAATTTTAAGTAAATGCTTTAATATTCCCTACATTATATTGATACTTTTTCCTGAAAATGTAAGGATTTTTTTAAAACAGGGATGTATGTTTTTAATTTTGTCAATACTTTTCCCACATACAATAATGTTTTTATTAACACATGATGTCTTTAGATATTCATGGACATTTGTATATGCATAAAATAGGGGTATATTCCTCATGGATTGTCTGCAAGATTTTAATAGGGAAATTGCCAAGCCAAACAGACAGTGTGAGACAGAAAACGAGCCAAGATCGTGAGGTCATGGCTCACCCTATTTTGACATCGATGGCCACCCCTCACGCCCCCACCTCCCATGTGCACCTACCACACCTCAGATATCATATGAAAATGGGGAAATATGCTCCATCTAAAAATATGTGGAAATAGCTAATGGAGCTTGAGCTCCATGGAGCCTGGAATTTGAAAGATTCAAAAATCAAATTTGTAGGTTTCAAAGAATTCTGAAAATACACACACATATCTATGGATGTATTTTTCGAAAAGGGTCACAGGATCGATGTATACTACTTGCCTGTAAAGTTTCATCACGAAATACAGGCTACCACAAGTCACGACTCACGACCGTTCATAACTATCAAGTGGCTAGCTTGGTAAGCTACCAACAGAAAATTGCGACCGTTCATACCTGGACCGATTGGCATTTGAATTTTGCTCCTTCCCGCGCACACGTGTAATGTTGATGGGATGCGTTTGCAGCTGGGCATGGGCAGCGCGCTGGAGACGTTGTGCGGGCAGGCGGTGGGCGCGGGGCAGGTGGACATGCTGGGCATCTACATCCAGCGCTCCTGGATCATCTGCGGCGCCACCGCGCTGGTGCTCGCGCCAACCTACGTCTTCGCGGCGCCCATCCTGCGTGCGCTCCACCAGCCCGCCGCCATGTCTGCCGTCGCGGGGCGGTACACGCGGTGGGTCATCCCGCAGCTGTTCGCCTACGCCGCCAACTTCCCGCTGCAGAAGTTCTTCCAGGCGCAGAGCAAGGTCTGGGCCATGACCTTCATCTCCGGCGCCGTTCTCGCCCTCCACGTCGTGCTCAACTACGTCTTCGTCACGCGCCTCGGCCACGGCCTCTTCGGCGCCGCCATGATCGGCAACGTCACTTGGTGGATCATCATCGTCGCGCAGTTCGCCTACCTCGTCTCCGGCTGCTTCCCGGAGGCATGGAAGGGGTTCTCGATGCTCGCCTTCAGCAACCTCGCCGCCTTCGTCAGACTCTCCCTCGCCTCTGCCGTCATGCTCTGGTTGGTAGATACACGAATTTAATTGAAACCTCCTAGTAGATTGCCTGAGTATCATTTTGAACGGTGCTTATAGAATTTATATGTGTGTGTGTGTGTGTGTGTTGTCTAGCTTGGAGCTTTGGTACTACACTGCAGTGCTCATCCTTGTGGGCCTCCTGAAGAATGCTCAACTCGAGGTTGACATCATGTCAGTCTGGTAAGCAAATCTCCATTGACAAACCTGTGACTGAACTTTGTGTACATGTAAAGAAATGGTTCAGTGATTAAACAGTTTCTGAAACCTGCAGCATCAACTACCAGCTCTGGACCCTGATGGTTGCACTAGGCTTCAATGCAGCAGTGAGGTATAATGCGCGCAACAACACAAATATAGCACTGCTAACACAAAAATTGCAACTCTACAAAAGTAGACGAAATCCACTAGTGTTTGTGCTAATGCAAAAATAATGATAATAAAAAATCTATGACATGCAGCGTTAGGGTGTCGAACGAGCTGGGCGCCAACAGGCCGAAGGCAGCCAGGTTCTCGGTGATCATGGCGGTGTCAACGTCCGCCGCCATCGGGGCGGTCTTCCTGGTTGTGTTCCTCGTCTGGAGGACCGAGCTGCCGCGCTTCTTCAGCGACAACGACGAGGTGGTGAGCGAGGCTGCAAAGCTCGGCTACCTTCTTGCAGCAACCATCTTCCTCAACAGCATCCAACCTGTGCTCTCAGGCACGTACCGCTAACACTGATGAGTTACCAAATTAATCCAATGGCAATTGGAACATCTTAGCAACAAGTTGTCACTGTGCAGGTGTGGCGATAGGAGCAGGGTGGCAGACGCTTGTTGCCTTCATAAACATTGGGTGCTACTACTTGGTTGGCATCCCACTGGGGGTCCTCTTTGGCTTCAAGCTTAGACATGGTGCATTGGTAAGGACAAAATCAGATCAACCTCCAAGATGGATGTGTAATTATTATTTTTGAGAAATAAGATTGATGCATAATTATAAACGGGGAATCGGATTCTAACCTGCTCCGAATATATAACAATGTGTTTCTGCAGGGGATTTGGGTGGGCATGTCCATTGGCACGCTGCTGCAGACTGCTGTACTTCTCATAATTTGCTTCAGAACCAAGTGGGACAAACAGGTGTCGTACAATGCTAACTTCACCCGATCCGTCGATCACAGTTATTTTCTATACATAATGACTCGATCAAAGTTGAGCAGATCTTTATATAAAAAATGTCTGAACTTTCAACGTGCAGGCTATGTTGGCCGAAGAGAGGATAAGGGAGTGGGGAGGAAGCAGTGATACATTGCCGGCGGCGACAACAACGGTGACAAACGGTAGCATATATAGATGATCAGATGGTTCCTGCATACAGATTGGACAATGTTATTTATATGTACATGGATAACACATATAGGTAGAATATATAGAAGTAATTAACCTGTACAGACCGAGATTGATCCAGTGTACCTCGGCTTCGTCATTGGGGAAATCGGCCTTTTAGGATCTGTTTCGATCAGAGAAATGAAATTCAATTACTAATTCATGTTTAACAAGAGTTAGAATTGGGCATGCAACAGAGCCGCGAAACCGTACTAGTAGTGAAGTCAAATATAAGTTTTGTTTGGTTCAACACTTTGAAGAATCGAGCGCGCAAACACACTACAAGTAGATATATAAATAAAATACAAGTACTATAGACATGTACCGAATAATATTTTTTGAATATATAGTATTATTATATGCATAAATATGAGGCACATATATTGTGCTTCTCATATTTATACAAATTACTATTGATGTTACAATAATACATTACATATTTTCTATGAACTAATTTGTACAGTGGATTGTACTAGCTTTTCCCTTATATTTTATTGTATGTCCACATATATGCACTTTGTCTTCTTCTTGTTAGCCCATCATGTACTTTAAATATATAAAATATAATCTATTCTGAATATATTTAAATTATTAATTGTACCAACTCCATTATGAAGGAAAAAAAACTCTGACATAGCAGAGGGCCGGGGGTTTCAACCTTCTTTTCGAAGAGAAAAAACCCATGGCTCAAACCATCACACCTCTGGTAGTTCCCGCCACCTGCAAAAACGTGCTTGCCCATCGCAACAATTTGCAAAAATAAAAAAAATACAGCGGTCGGCGAGCTGCAACTGACAAAGGGGTGGTGCCACATAGAAAACTGTGGCCAACGAGTTGAAACAGACGATTATTCAAAAGCTGGGACCGGACAATTTTTGACAACACTGGTTTCAATCAATCTCGGCCAATTTACGAAAACACGAGCATTTTTTTAAAATTCCTGAATAGTTTTTGAAAACATAAATGTTTTTTGACTCTATCAACAAAAATTGAAAAACACGAACGTTTTTTACTTTTGAAAAAGATGAACAATTTCTGAATTTCTGATTTTCATTTCAACGGGATTTTTTTTTGAAATTTCCGAACATTTTTTGAAAAGACGAACACAAAATAAAGAATATGAAAATGATAACATTTTGATTTTTTTAAACACGAATATTTTTCGAAATTCATGGATATTTTCCAAAAACACTTAAATTATTTTTTAATTTAAGAACCAAATTGTGAAAGTAGAAACCTCTTTTGACTCTCAGGCCATATTTGAAATTCCCAAAATATTTTCGAAAAAAAATTCAAAAGGAGAAATTATTAAAAACAAAAGCAAGAAAGAAAAGAGAAAAACAGAAATGTGCGACTTTATGCAGCTTTTCAATTGTCGATAACCGCAAATAGGAATTTTAACGGTAACCAGGGCGCGTTGATGCAGCTTGTTGCGAGATTTTTTTAGGCAATCTCGCGAAGCTTTATTAAACTGCACCAATGTTTACAGAGATAAAAGATAGATTGCCGGGGTGTGCTAACCAAACATGGCGGCCCACCCCTAGCTTCAAGATATGATTCGCTAGATTGTGAGCTTGGAAATTCGAGCTCCTAAATTCATGTCCAAAGTTGCAAACTGCAAAAGAAACACTGTGCTCCAAGATTTCAAGTAGAATGGCTCCATAACTAGTGGGGTTCCTTTGCTTGAGATCTTCAACTACAACCTTACAATCAGAAGCAAGGTGAACGTACTGCACATTCAGATCATCAGCAAGTGCTAGCCCTTCCCTTATCACGAGAGATTCCAATGTTGGAGGGTCGCTCATGCCCCTGATCACAATCGGTGATGCACCTAGGAAACCACCATTGTGGTCGCGGCATATGGCAGCCGCCACCCCTCTGCCTCGAGCCACGGCGGCATCGACATTTATCTTACTGCAACCACTCGGCGGAGGGATCCAGCTGGTTGGCTGAACGGTAGTTTGCTGCCTCCTCTCTGGCCCTGGTTCTGCTATGGTTTTGAGATCTCTCAAGTAAGACTTGATGAACTGATCTGTGGACTGAGGGCTCTGAAATACAACCTCATAAATCGCCTTGCGTCTTGCTCGCCAAATGGCCCATAAGGTCACACTAAGACAGTGTACTCCTCCTGGCTCAGTACATCATGTAGCTTGTTGCGAGATGGCTCACCTGCAGAAGCCCGAACTGGAATGGCCCAGTAACCACAAGCCGCATCACATTGATGGCATGTCTTATTTTGTTTTTATTTTTGGTTTGTCCTTCGCTTTTTTATTTTAGCTTTTAGTAATTTTATTTATATTCCGAAATATTCCAAAAACATACTATATAAATACTACAAAATCATTTTTATAAATTGTTGGAACATTTTATTCTAGTATTAAAGAATGTTTCATTAATTCAGGAAAATATATGTCACATTTAAAATATATATTCACAAGTTTGAAAAATGTGTTCATCACATTTTCAAAAAAACATGTTTGCATAGTTCAAAACAAATTAATCATTCAAAAAAATCAACATGTATGTGAATAAAACATGTATTCAAAATATATTAAATGTGTATAATTTTTTTGCATGTATATGAAAAACATAAAAGATGTATTAAAAAGTAGACATGTGTTACAAAAGAAAGAAAAACCTAACAATGAAACAAAAAGAGTAGCGAAGAAAAAAAATGAAAAACCCCAAGAAAGAAACAAAGAAAACAAAGTATAAAGAAAAAATAAATAAAACCGAAAAAATCATCACAGTGACAAAGAAAACTGAAATCATAATGAATAAAAAGATAAAATCAGCAAAACAAAGAAAACTGAATGAACACTATAGAAAACGGAAAGAAAAAAAAAACACTGACGGAACTCCACCCGGACGCAGTGCAAGCAAAGCCATCGGGCAACACAGCTAATGGACCGGCCCATAGTCATCTGCCGCAGATGAGTGCTTATTAGAATCGGTACGAGCGAGACTTAGGAGAGCAAGTAACTGGATGTTACCCTTTGAAGGGGAACTTCAGGGGTCACTTTTGGTCCTCTGAAAGCATGTCGGTGAACACCGTGTAGGCTTCGTGTTCTTTAGGGTATTCGTCTTGTACTGCGCCGACTGGCCTGACAGCCGGCTGCTGGGTCGTATGGTCCTTTGAAGTAGACATGATGGACGCCAAGCTGCCGGCTGCTGGAATCATCGGCCATACTGGTAAACACCACGTAGGCTCCGTGTTCTTCAGGGTATTCGTCTTGTACTGCGCCGACTGGCTTGACAGCCGGCTGCTGAGGCGGAGGCGGAGGCGGCTGCCCAGCAGGCAGGGGTGGCAAGAGGCCGTCTCCCTTGGCGATCCTGGTGAGCCAGTGGCACTTCCGGGTGGTGTGATTCGACGGCTTCGCACCACTATGGAACTTGCAAGGTCCATCCAGGGTCTGCTCATAGGAGAAGGCCGGCAATCAGTTTGGCTTGCCGCCTTTTTGTCGCTTGGGCGGAGGCTGCTCATCCGGCTGCTGGGCTTCAACGGTCGCGACCTGCCGGCTGCCGGAAGCCGGCTGCGGGGCCTTGCGCTTGTGGTCGCCCTGCTGTTGTCGCCGGTTGGCGTCTCCCGCCGGAGTTCTTGGAGCTTGAGGGGCCACTTTGCCAGTTGTGCTGATTTGAATCTCCACCTTCATGGAGGAGTCGGCCGTGGCGTACTTGTCCGCTATGATCAGCAGCTCGTCAAGGGTTTCTGGCTCGTCGCAGAGGAGTTTGTACTTGAGGAGGGTGCCTTCTCTGCACCCGGCTGTGAAATACTCGATGGCCTGCACCTCGCGCACGCCCTCGCAGGAGTTCCGAAGCTCGGCCCAACGCGTGAGGTAATCGCGAGTCGACTCGCCGGGGCCTTGCACGCACAAGGAGAGCTGACGAGGCTTGGGAGGACGCTTGTACGTGCTGGTGAAGTTGTGAACGAACGCTTCGGTGAAGTCGACCCAGCTGTTGATGCTGCGGGGCTTCACGCTGTTCAGCCATGTCCGGACCGTGCCCTGGAGCATGAGCGGAACGTACTTTACGGCGACACGCTTGTTGCCATTTGCTATGTTGACAGCCGTGGAGTAGTCGACTAGCCAGTCTTCCGGCTTCACGGAGCCAGTATACTTGGGCGTGTCTCTTGGGAGCGTGAACCCTCTGGGAAAGGGCTCGTCCCGAATGCGGGGCCCGAAACAAGGCGGACCCAGCTCGTCTTCTTCTTCCAGCGCTAGGGATCAGTGAAGTCGGTCGATCCGGCGGCGGGCGTCATTCTCTCCAACTCCCTCTCGGCGGCCAAGGCAGTCGCCGAGAGTCGGATGGTCAACAGGCGGCGGAGAGACTCGCCTCTCCTTGCGAGGAAGGGGAGGCGGACAGTCGTCCCGTCGTTCCACTGCTCTTGGGCGGCCGTCTCGGTCGCGCTCTATGGTAGTGTGAGTCCGACTGTGGCTAACAGCCGGATCCTTGTCTCTACTTCCTCGGGCGCCGCCAGTCGGCGTCCGAGACGTCGCGCCTTGATCTCGGCAAAGGTCGTCGTTTTGCCGCTGCGGCGCCTCCGTGCGGCAGCCGTCCTCGTTCTGCGTGGCAGCCGCATCGAGGAGCCGCTGGACTCGCTCCATCATGAGGCGTTGTTCTTCGCCCTTGAAATTGTCCAGCTCGTCCGCCGTTGCCTGAGCGGCTCGGATGTTTTCCGCTGGTGTAGCGTACACAGGGCGGCTTGCCCCAAACAGGTTGGTGATGGCTACGCCACGCTGCTGGACCGTGCCAAGGCGGCTGGGCCCCGCCAGGGCCGGCGAGCCACCGACGGCGCAATCCATCTCCCGTTGGTAGGCTTCTAACAAGCGTCTCATGCTGGCCAGCTTCTTCGCGCCTTCAACGAGCTGAAGGCGGCGCGCCACCAACGTCTCTGCATCAGCGTCTTCTGGAATGGGCGTAGTTAGGTCTTGTAGCGCCGCGCCGAGTGAGTCGTGCGCTCCTCCGCCGGGG